AATTCCAAAGGGTTTGGGGGGGGGGGGTTGTGAGCTAGAAACTGTGGATGAAGAACAAACATATATGAGAAACATATTTTGGCCATCTGAGTGGCCAAGTATATATTTCCTATAAGTTGTAATATCTCAGTGCCCCATTGGGAAGAGTGCTGAATGAAAAGTTGGAACTTTTGAGCCCCCGCCCCCCGTACTACCCTGGCCCAGGCCTCCATCTCTCTTATACTATTGTGTTATCATGCTTACACTCAACCCCCCTCGCTGTGAAATCAGTTTTGTGGTGGCTAGAAATACGTGTATCCAAGCAGACAGTCTGCAGGGTAGAACAAGGCTCATTGGTGTTGTTGAGTGTACACTCACACAGCTTTGGTAGTTCTGACGTTTCTCTAGCCAAAATCACTCTCCTGAACTCCCCACCTATCCAGGTAACCTCATAAAGATCTCATAATCGGCATGTCCCGAAGTGAACAAACATCTTTTATCAGTCCATCACCCAAGCAGGAAACCATTGCAAGCCTCTTTCTCTCTCTTAACCTCTCACTTCTAATTGCTCATTAAATGCCTTGGATCTTAGACAAGACTTAGCTCTTTCCTTTCTCTTCATCCCCACTTTCAGAGCCCCATTTCAGGGCCCTTTAGTCTCTGGACAACCTCAGAAGCCTTTGATCTCTGTTAGCCTCTTGCATGTAGCTTTGTCCCCCATCTGCTTTGCATCTTTCATACTTTTGTCAGAATTCATTTCTAAAAAGTGTAAATCAAATACTAGTCCACATTCCTTGGAATGGTGTCCATGTTCTAACCATGGACCACTTCTATAGCTCAATTTGTCTTAAACCTTCTTACCCAACTTTAAAAAAAACTTTCAGCTCAGTGACCACAGCAGTCACCTTAAGCATCCCGAACACTGTGTGTGCCTGGAAGGCTTTTTCCTCTTGTCAGGAGCCTTGTCTTCCTCATCTTTGCCTCCCTGTTGCTTAGCAGAGTGTGGCAAACAGAGGTGCTCAACAAACATTTGCTGACAGAATTGTGTACATACATAACATCTGAATTAATATGTTGATATGCCATTAGGGAGACTTTTAAAAATTGTTTCAATCCTATATTCTTGGAAGTAGGACTTTGTACTTTTTTTTTTTTTGGCTAAGGAAAGATGATCTTAACTAAATGGATGGTTTGAATAAACTTATTTTACCGACTTTCTTTCCATGTGTTAGTCCACTAAGGCTGCTATAGCCAAAATCCAGAGATTGGATGGCTTAAAAACATTTATTGCTCATGGTTCTAGAGACTGGCGAGTTTAAGATCAGGGGGCTGGAAGACCCTGTGTCTGGTGAAGGCCTGCTTTCCTGCTATGTTCTCATATGGCAGGGGGTGAGGTTTCAAAATATACATTTTGGAAGGACACAAACATTCAGTCTCCTGTACTCTACTGATCAATTGAGTTAGTTATGCATAATTTGTTTCCATTTTAGTTTTTTACATTTTAAGATGTGCTTTCCTAAGTTGTGTAAACATTATTTATATTCTTTTTTCTCATGTTTCAGTTTCATGCTTTAAATGGCAAAAATATTTGCAACTACCAGTTGGTCTGTGACAGTGATGTGAACCTGCGGAATAAAGATTCTGTGATCCACTGTCTGCAAATCTTGTCCTCCTTCAGGCTCATCATGCAGGCGGCTTTGCCACAGGAGCACCTGTGCTGGATTATCTTCAATGGTATATATCAGTGTTCAATATTCTACTTTTCATTGTGTCTTTCAGGAAGTTATTTAAATGCCGAGTTCGGTGATGACTTGATTACTTTGTGATTTAGGTAACGTTCCTTTCATAAGAGGACAAGGGGGCTCTGTTACGCTTTCAGCACATTTTAGCTTGTCCTTACGAGCAGGGACTCATACCGCAAGGGTGTGGGCTTTCTGCTCGAGGGAGGGTCAGAGCTGTGGGATAATCAGTTTCACATATAAACAAAAGGGGGCGCTCAGTGAGTGGGTCGATAGTGGGTTGGCCAAAAAGTTCGTTCAGGTTCTTCTATGACGTCTTACAGGAAAACCTGAACAAACTTTTTGGCCAAATAAATCTAAGTGGAGAAGGATCAGAGGCCTTGCAAGTTAGATTATTTCTAAGCATCATCTACTTATCAGTCCTCTCCTCAAATATTTTGGCCAGTGACTAGGGCTTCCTACGTATCAACCTTCTCCTCCTACTTGTTTTTGAGTGAGGAACTATGAGAATGTGCATGTATATGTGTATATGGTTTATTTATATACATATATATTCATTGTATAGATAGACATATGTATGCATTATATATGTTTCATAAAGTGAATCTTATCTAAATCTTATCAAAATGTAACCTTTGTTTTTTTTCTTTTAAGAGTTACAATTCAAATTCAACTTAAATTCCCTTTAAAGTTAAAATTTGAAGTTATAAGGAGTAACCTACAGTATTGTTCTCTGGATCACATATTCTTGTAAGAAAAAGAATGACGGTCTGTTATGAGTTTATAAGACAAGGGCAAAACAACTTGAAAGAAAGCATATTGGATTTTCTCTCATCCATGGCAACTGACAGTATGCTTCCTAGTCTTTTCCTTCTTCACGCTCCCAAATAATTTTTGTTGACATTTTGACTGTAATCAGACCTTACATTTGCTACCGAGATGAGACTGTCTCTGGGGGACATTTTTCAGGCCAGTGATTGTTAAACTTTTGCATCCCATCGTCATCAGAGTTGCCAGGGCCATCTCTCCGGGTGCATTGCTCATGTATCTTGGCAGGGACTGAGCCAGAGCAGAGCTTCTGTGCTCAAGAAAGGGCGATAGACCTGAGTGCTGGGCCCTGGGGTCAGGCTCTGCTTGAGAGGTGGAGACGATGCAGTGTGACTCCCTGTCTGAAATCCTTCTGAGATTCCCACAAAATCACCCCCCTCCCATTTTCTTTTTCAAAAAGATAGAACAATTCCTGTGTCTTCCACATCCTTATTCTGCTGTATGCTTTTTCTTTGGCATCATGTTCTAGATTTTATCCTGTTTCCTAAATATTTTTCTGCTCAACACTATGGCATTAGAATCTAGCGATGTTCCTATATGTAAACCTAGCTTGTTAACTGCCTGCTGAATTGTCTTCGGCAGAGACCCATGCATGTAAGGATGGGCACCTGGTTGGCCCTGCCTCTCTGACCTTACAGGTAGTCCTGTGGTGAGTGTCCTCACGTCGGCCCTCTCATAGACCCCTGTGAGTTCTCTGGGATGCACGCCCAGGAGCGGGGTTGCTGGGTTGGGGGAGGTACATAAACTTACTGTCATTGGTTGCCATCCCTGTTTTAGTTCATTCATCTCAAACTTAAGTGCCAGGCATTGTTCCAGGTGTTAGGAATACAGGAGTGGACAGCACACAAAAACCCTGTTTCTCATGCTGCCGTAGTACTTCAGAGAGATGATAAATCAAAACTAAATGATGTATCAGGTGGTGATGAGAACTCTTTGTGTGTATGCTCAGTCATGTCTGACTTTTCTGTGACCCCCTGGACTGCAGCCCACCAGTCTCCTCTTCCACTGGACTTCCCAGTCAAGAGTACAGGAGTGAAAAAAAAAAAGAGTACAGGCGTGGGTTGCCATTTCCTTCTCCAGGAGATCTTCCCGACTCAGGGATCAAACCCTCATCTCTTGCATTGGCAGGCAGATTCTTTTACTACTGAGCCACCTGGAAAGCCCCTGATGATGAGAGCTATGGAAGGAAATAAAGTCTAGAAAGGGATTAGTGAGAGTGATGGCTGGTCTGGGGCCTGGGCTGCAATTTTAAATAATGGTCAGGGTAGACTTCACTGCAGATTTGAATAAACACCTGGCTGAGACATCTGAGCATTCTGGGGAAGGGCATTCCAGCTGGGAGATTAGCAAGTGCAAAGACCTTGTAGTTTTAAAACTTTGGAATTTGAGTTGTGAAAAAATGACCTGCAGTCAATTTCTTAAAATACATTTGAATTTTCCTGCTAAACATTAACACTCTTTACTTTAATTGACTATTATACAATTATAAGAGCTGGTTTCTTAAGTTATTTAATCAATCTTGGTTCTTTCACAAAGTCTAACTGGGTAAATGAATATTGGATAATATCTGACTTCCCAACTAACCTGAACCCGAATCATTTAAGCCTTCAAATAATCAGATTATATTGGTGGTGGCTGTCTTTGATGAAAAGGAGTCACATGTCAAGGAATCACTTGTCATAAGTCACAAGTCGCTCTGTGTCAGGGATTTGGTTAAAACATCAAACTAAGTTCCAGAGGCATTCTGAGATCTTAAAGATTCAGTCTGTGCTCCATTTTGAACCATTTACTCTGTCCATTAGGCTTCTGCAGTGGAATCTGTAAGCCATGCCAATATCCTGAACCATCAGGGGAGAATTCCGTTATAGTCAGGATGCACTAGGGTGCAAAGATTAAAGGTACATCTTTGAAGTACCAAGGGCCCTTGTTATTCTTGAGGGCAGTCTCCTGGGGCTTTCTGAAGTCCCCCAGTTCCCATTGCTAAATGTTTGTCTGAGTTCCCTGCTCACACCTGAGTCAAGTGTTTTGTGAAGAGTCACATGTGTCCTCTGCATATCCTCACTAGGCGATTTTTTTCTAAGTAACACAGTTATACAGACTAGGTCAACAAAGCCAAGTTAAGAATGCTGAACCTGAGCTCTTACTAGCTCAGTAATTGTTCCTACTGGATCTTACTGGAGATAGATAATTCTATGTCATGAGAGCAGGCACATTACAAATGCTGAGGCCCTGAATGTGAAGGACTTAATTGCATTCTCTGTGAACTTTATGGTTGTTTAAGTGTTTAAGATTTTATTCAGTATATTTTGGTCACTGATTTGTGTCACGTTTATTATGTAGCAGGTGTATTGTAATCAAGGGATGTGTGTTTTGGAGCAGGTGCTATTTTCTCAGAAGCTTTTTTTAAGTTTAAAAGCGAACATAGGATTTGTAATTGTTGAATTGTGGTGGTTATGAATTTTAGATCAGATATTTTATGGGAAATATTTAGATTGCTTGCCATTATAATTAAATGCCTTTTTAAAGCATGCTGTATTGTCTTTTGGGTTATGTTTATAGCCTGATAATATGTTTTCTATATAGAAAGATATACCGTGATGTCATTCTCCACTTGTCTTCCAAATGCTGCCATGAAATGAGCCATCTATCTTCATTTAATTATTGGCCTGATTTAAAAAATGATCATACTTGAATGATCTTACATAGGAGTTGGAAATGGCATTTTTCATCAGCATGCTTATGGGACGTACTTAATAATGGGATAGATATTATATGAAACAGCAAATGAATATAATGTAACCTATTATGCATTATGAATTTTAAATTATGAGTTTCCTTGTTGAGTATTGTGCTATATGATTAAATATGTATTCTAGTCTTATTTGGAGATAAATCTTTAGTTATGCAACTGTGAGGAAATGATGGGAACCAATAAAATTTTATATGAATTAATAAAACCACAAAGTACATACATTATGCTATTAAAATATCATTTTGTTCAGTATATTTCAAAACTTAAACTCATATCTTGCTATGGAGCTTGATCTGTATTTTCCTGGAAGAGCTTGGACTATAACTTACAGCCCTGATACTAGTTGGCTAACCAAATACCTCAACTATGTCCCTGTCTTGAACTGGCTTTGTTTTATAGTAAGGTTCTCACTGACCAGTACTTTAAAAAGCCTTTAAAGTAAGATTAAAAGTTTCCTGTGTTAACAGTTTTAACATATGGTCATATTAATTCTTTTAAAAATTTAACTACAAGTTACAAAAATTTTACAATGATTATAACTTTGGCCATTATCAGATTTTCTCATGAGAGAGTCATTTGTTTTGGGAACTACCAACTTAAACTATAGAAAGTGGAATGTAAAGTTCTATCATGTGACTGTAAAACATATTAATCTTTTTCTCCATCTAGGTACCATTTACATTTACACTATTTGCAGAAAATTGATGATCAGAGGTCATTCTTCCAAGGTATGAAATTTACTGTCAGAATATCTTCCTCTGTATTTCCTGCTTGTCTTAAGACTTTTGTTAGCATTGAATGCTAAACAAAGAAAATTTAATGACTTAGTGTCACAAAAGTTAGTGGCTGTATCTGTATTACTAGGTATACTGTTTTTATTTTTTATTTTATTTTTTTTGGTATACTGTTTTTAGTTTTCCTTTAACATGATCATAAATAAAAATTTAGACAGTAAAGTATTCATGAAAAGAAGGAATTTCCTAAATGGATAAATATTTCTCCAGGGTCCCTCAGTCTTTCAGATTAGTTGTAACTTGTCAATATGATACTGAATATCCATCTAGTGACTACATCTCTAGGTAGGGTAGCCATCCATTCTAGCTTGTCCAGGACAGTCCTGGTTTACGCCTGTTGTCCTGAAGTCATTATTAATAGTGCTCACTTTTACTTTTAAAAGTGTTGTAGTTTGGATGATAAACTGTGGTTAGCCTGTGTGTGACTTGCTGTGGAACTTGGGCCACATTTGCTTGAAGAACTTGGCCTGTACTTATGGCCCAGATACTCGATGGGTGAACAAACACCTCAGCTATGCCAGTCATGAGCTGACGTTGCTTTATAGTAGCATTCGCACTGACCTGCACTCACTGCTTAGTTTTAGCTGGAGGAAATGGCTTCTGTTGACTTCCTTACCATGTTGGTAGCACCTTTGTCTGCAGGAGACATATTTATTCCCTGTGTTCACTATCCAGTCATTGGAATGTAGGCCAAGAAAGGACAATATTCTCCCCTCGAGACCATGCTTGAGTTGTTGCTGGCATTTGCAACATTGCTATTTGAGTCTTCTCTATTGTATGTAAACACTTGCTCTGAATATTCGGACACTTGGGACAGATATTTTTTTCCCTTATTTCCTCAAAACATAGCCAAGTATCTTAAAAACTGACAACACTTGAAAAAATAGATGGCAAGATATTTGCATGCTTAACGGATAGCATTAATTGTGTGTTCTCTCTCTCTGTTTTGTTCCTTGCATTTAAAAACTCTATTACTGACAGTGACTTAACAAACTCTATGCCAGCTTTTTGAGTGTGAATTAAAACAAGGAGAGGCTATACCATGCATAATGTAAATTTGGCCTACAGACTATTCCAACGATTCTCTATTCAGTTCCAGATGATTTCCTGAAAGGAATTTAGGAAATCTCCTGTTGTGCTTGCTGTGGCAACAAATAACTGCTTCACAGAATCACCATAGTTTGGTCTGCTTATAACATTTGTCTGGCAAAGCTTTGAAGGGCAGAGATGTCTGTGCCAACATTTAGCTGTTGGTGTTTGTACTTGCTAATGCTGAGGGAATTTTGATTTAACGTGATAGCCATCTTAAAATAATTTCTTATTTATATTCTGTGTAAGATTTCTTCTCTCCCCCTCATATAATGTGAGTTTCTCATTGACAGAATAAGGAAGGCCTGAAGGAAGATCATTTCATAGCCCCAGTCTTGTGGAGTGGGAGTTGGGGGAGTGAGGAATGCAAGAATTTTGGGATGGTGGGTGGCTGCACAGTTGGCACTTGCAGATCAGGGTGGAATTCTTTCAGTGTATGTTCAGTGTAATAAGGTTCAAGGAAATTAATTTTTTACCCTGAAACTCACAAACCCTCAGCTGATGAGTCGACTCCTGAGCTGAGACTCTACATGGACATGGTGGGTCCATTTAATGGGGACAAGCCCTTGGCAGGCCGGCCCCATCTGAATCCTCCTGATTTTGTAGCTACTTTAGAGTTCAAGTTCATTACAGTTCAAAACAGGAGAAACAGATGCGGGGTCCTCAGGCTTTTCGTGGTGTCACCCCAGAGCAATCTAAACTCCTATCCCTATAAGATTTGGTAATTATGATTACCACTTATTATTGAATATTATTGAATCCCTTCTATGTGCTAAGTGCTGTGGGAAGGGCTCTGCGTACACAATAATGCCTTGGTAGTCTTACGAGGGTGAGACCTTAAGACTATCATCACTGTCCTTTGTTGAATGAATGCTTACCATCTCTCAGGTATGCTTCCAAGCCATTTTCACGTATTACTCATTGAATCCTCATACCAGCACTTGGAGAAGGTAGCATTATCACTTTTATCTTACAGATGAGGAAGCTGAGGCTTGGAAAGGTTGATTTGCTCAAGGTTGCATATCTAGTTAGGATAGTTAGAGATGTAGCTGAGGCCGGAGCCGATGCCACTGTGTACTGCCCCTCAACCCCATCAGAACATGGCGAGTCTGTTGACAAGATCCATGACCCACCCTGTTTCGGTTCATCTCTGCAAATGGAGGAGTTGTATGGAAGCTCCTGATACAATGTTGAAATATTTTCTCTTTTATTTATTTGGCTGCACTGGGTCTTAGTTGCAGTACATGGATTCTTTATTTTAGTTGAAGCATGGGGGATCTAGTTCCCTGATCAGGAATCCAACCTGGGCCCCTGCATTGGAAGTGCAGAATCCTTGCCACTGGACCACCAGGGAAGTCCCTGAATATTTTCTGACATGACTCTGAAGGCGTCCTGAAGACCAAGACTGCTCAGGGCTCTTCATAGATGGGAAGCACTTTTGAGCTGAGGCAGGCCACCAGCATACACTTAGCGAATGCAGGGAGGGCAGTTTTCTGAAGCCTGTTTCCCTGAAGACACGTGGCCATTTGCTTTCCTTTATGGTAAGGGCTGTGGTTTCTTCTAAGGCATTTGCAACTGTAATATAGTATTCAGCAAACATTAAAGAAGTCAGTAGAATCTATTCATTCTAAAAAAAATGTGGATTTCTGTTTCACTTTCCTATGAAACCGAAATAGTTTGATCACATTTTGACTTGAACAATGGTTGTCAGATTCTTCCACAGACCATCACATAAAGTTCAAGTCCAGACTTTAAAGTGCTTCTCTTTGCTGCCCTCAAAGGCTGTGAACTGAAATAAGTGACGCTGCAGTGCCATCTCGTGGCTCAGCTGGTTAATCTTTGTGTGGTTCTTCCTACTTGACACCTTAACCATGCTCTTGCTAGGCTCCTAAAATTTGTTTTTTTCAAAGTTTTGTTCTGTTTTATTTTAATGAAGAGACTAGTCCTGCTGAAATAATCAATAGAAGTAATTCTATTACTTTGTTAATAGAAGTAATTCTTTCTTTTGTTAATAGAAGTAATTCTTTCTTTTATGGGCGAGAAAAAAATGCTGCAATCAAATTAAGTAGTTTTTTTTTGAAATGGCATTTCAGCTTTGAACCCTGAATGATGGTTTCTCAGAAACCCCAGTGGAATGATGGCTTCTTTTCTCTTTGCTGTAGTTGCCCCGTGTAGTGGGAACAATCCTGCTGCCCTTAGGAGTCCAGAGACCTGAACTCCAGCCCCAGCTCTGTCACTTCCAAGCAGTTTAGCCTCTTGGAGTCAGATTGGGTTACTTTTAAGGTTCCGTCTGGCACTAAAATCTGTGATGTGGGGTCTTTTATCCTAAATCTGAGGCCACACCCAAATATTATGTGAACGACTGGTAAGTGTAGCTAGTTTCATTTTATTTTATTTTTAGCTAGTTTTATTTTGAAGTATGAAATTTTGAATACCAGGAATCCTGAGAGCTTTGAAAGCCTCGTGTATATAAAGGGGGAAAAATTTATACATGATTTAATCCCATCCCCCGCAAACCACAACTATATGAATGCAAAAATCCACAATAGGATTTCTTTACAGCAGATAATGTGAAACTCAAGAATTTTGACAAGTGTTAATTCCATATTAGTTCACAGTGTGGCAAAATTAGCAAACAATGAGAGAAACAATTCAAGCAGCAATAAAGCAACCCCAGGCTGACTTAATAGAGATATAGGGACCAGAACCAGGGAGTGAGAGTTTCGTTTTACTGTGGTCTAGTCATACACTCTACAGGGACATTGGCCACCTCGAATAATACCATGGTAAGAGAGGGAAGCTCTGTCCTGGGAGGATAGAAGTGCTTGGGGATCTTTGTCCTGGAGAGTGCTGGGGAAGGGGCAGGCTGCATAGGTGTTTTCAGATTCTTGAAAGGCTGTAATTCTCAATTTGAGTCTTGAGTGGTCTTGTGCTGTTCTAGAAGGCATAACTAGGACGAATGCACTGGAGGTGTATCAAGGTGATTGCATTTCAGGTTAAAGAAGATCATGTTTAGGAGTGTCTTCTGCTATGTGGCACACCCCTTGTTGCTGGAGGTGGGAGCTTGTGGGCAGAGAAGGCGAGGGACATCAGGTGGTGGTGCTGCTGATGCTGAGGGAGTGAAATTAGATTCTCAGCCCCTTGATGCCATGATTACTAGAAATACGTAGCATCGGGAACTGAAACTTTTCAGTAAAGGTCTGTCCTCAGTCCATCAACAGACATTTGTTGCTAATAACAATTGCACTGTTGCAATTAGCTCCTTGGGCTTCCCTTGTAGCTCAGCTGGTAAAGAATCCACCTGCAATGCAGGAGACCCTGGTTTGATCCCTGCATCAGGAAGATCCCCTGGAGAAGGGATAGATTATCCACTCCAGTACTTTTGGGCTTGCCTTGTGTAGCTCAGCTGGTAAAGAATCTGCCTGCAATATAGGAGACCTGGGTTCAATCCCTGTGTTGGGAAGATCCCCTGGAGAAGGGAAAGGCTACCCACTCCAGTATTTTGGCCTGGAGAATTTCATGGACTGAGTAGTCCAAGGGGTCACAAAGAGTTGGACACAACTGAGTCACTTTCACTTTCATGCCTTTTATTATTAGCTCCTAGACTAGTGCTGACACTTGGTAAATGTTAATAAGAATAAGCTGAGTTCATAGGACTCTAGGAGCTAGGCAGGAAGACATTGCAAAATGACTGAGATTTTGAGTTCTTGAAATTCTTCTTTAACTTTTAAATGCTTAGCTTTTAAAATGTGTGTTAGCTAAAATGTGTATTTTTAGCATCAGTGACTTGTGCTCACCATTATTCATTTGATTATATTGGATAAAATTGGCATTATTTGCTTAAAATGAAAAGACATTCAATCGTGCCCTTTCTGATTCAGGCCTTGGAATACCTCCTGTGGGCCAGTATATGTATGGAGTCCTCAGTGCCTCTCCTGTCCGTCAGGTACTTGACGTGGAGAGCTACTCTTTACACAGCTGTCTGCCAGTGCTACTATGACTGCCAAGCTGGTGTTCACGGAGAGGTAGGCTACTTTTTGGGCTTCCCAGGTGGCACTAGTGGTAAAGAACCTGCCTGACAATGCAGGAGACGTAAGAGATATGGCTTCAATCCCTGGGTCCAGAAAATCCCGTGGAGGAGGACGTGGAAACTCACTCCAATATCCTAGCCTGGAGAATCCCATGGACAGAGGAGCCTGGTGGGTTACAGTCCACAGGGTTGCAAGGAGTCGAACACACTGAAGCGAATTAGCATGCATGCGTGCAGGCCACTTTTTAATTATGAGGATGCTAATACTTAAAAATACAACTTATTCAGCATTTTCTTCATTAGATAAGTGGCAGGAAAACAAGCAAACCAACAAAACCCAAAGAACTGCAATGAAGCAAAGATACAAGTCCAAGGCTTTATTTGCAGACATTTGCCTGGTTTCTCCATTCTGTGAATTTCTTGCTTTTACTTTCTGCTTCCCTGTTTATTCTCTGTTCACTTGCACCATCTTTGCTTCTTTTCTGAATAAGATCTCTGAAATCTTCCCTTCCTCTTTATATTCTTGTATGCAAGCCACTTCCCTTCCCTGTTTAGTTTTTATATTCCATGCTGTCTATTATCTGTTTTGTTTTTCTCTGCTTCCAGCCACCATTTATTTAGTACACTCTGTTTCTTATTTTTCCTCTTTTCCTGTATATATTTTTGATTAAATATTTGAAATGTAGCTTAACTGGTTGGGGCTTCTATTGACCTCTGCCACATCTCTGTGCGAATAAAATCTGGTACCCTCACTATAGCATGTAGTACTCTGCTTGTCAATGGATGGGGTCTTGTTGAAAATTAGAGACAGGCATTCCTTCCTTTGGACCACCCCATCCCTGCACCAGTGTGCATAACTTGGTGAGTGCAGTGGGGTCTGGTTTTCAGCAGGAGAATAGCTTAATTCAGTCCTTGTGGGATACTTTTCTAGCCTAGGATACATTCTAGAAACTACTCACCATATATGCAGAGTTAGTCTTAGTGTACTAGTGGTAGCATATTGCCATAGCTATTAAATTTATCAGGGATAGACACATTTGTGTAGTTTTAAATTTGATTCCTATTGGAATTTTTTCTTATTGAAAAATGTAACCCTTTATGTTACTATTATGTTCTAGAAACATCTTCATGAAAAATCATAAATTATAAATAAAATACTTGAAAGAACTGCTAAAATAAATTACAGGAATGAAACTCATTTTGCTATTATCTCTATCGTAGCAATAGAGAATTATAATAATGGTGATCTGATTAAATAAGCAAGCCTACCTTCTTCCTTTCCTCAGATATTAATAAATACTTTCTGTATGTTGGGTACTGGAAATAGAAAAATAATCCCCTTTAAGGACCTCACAATTTAGTTGACAGTGTGTACCGTTGAATAGATAATACAGCTGGTTTTGGTGGGAGAGTTAGAATTTGAGAAGAGCGCTGAGGAGGGGTGTATGTGTACGTATGTGCATGCATGTGCAACACCGGAGACGTGATCAACTATAAGAAGCTACTCTGTAACCCAGAATTTGACTTTCCTTACTTTTCTGAATTCTAAACTTAGTATAGTCAACATTTCATTGACTTTAGATTTACAGAAATTAGTGGTGCTTCTAGGAAATGATTGATGGGTCAGCACTATGTTCTAAAAAAGTCAGCATCAGCCTAGAGTTTAATTCACAAATTAAATCAAATGTCTGGGAGAGTAAAACATACTCTCTTGATACATTTTTAATCACTGTACTCTAACTTCTTATGAATTAAATTTATTTTAATTGCATGTAGGCATTTGCTCGGCGTGCTTTAGCTAAAATTGATGAGTTACGGCAACTGGAATTAATGAGTTCCTCACAACCACAGGAAGAATCCAGAGAATATTATAGAGAGGCCACAATAAAGGTATAAAAATTTCATGAGATAAATCTACTGTACTCTACAGATGATGAAGTACTTAATATCAGTAGTTGAGAAGCGTATCCCATTGATGCTTCATAAGTAATTCTTCTTTTTGAGGCAGATGGCAGTCATGATCTTCAAAAGAGGAGTATTTGAATCGAGAAGAAAAAACAAAAGTTTCTTTAGACCAAAGATAAGAGTTAACATAAAGGAAGCACAAACTGTAAGTCTCAGAATATCTTCTGTGTTTCAGGCTACTTCTGCAGTGTTTACATTTTACCTCTGTGTCTTTAACGCTTCCCTGGTGGGTCAGATGGTGTAGACTCTGCCTGCAATGCAGGAGACCCAAGTTTGATCCCTGAGTCAGGAAGGTCCCTTGGAAAAGGGAATGGCTACCCACTCCAGTACTCATCACTTGGAAAATCCCTTGGACAGAGGAGCCTAGTGGGCTACAGTCAATGGGGTTGCAAAGCGGCCTGCAACCAACGCTTTCACTGCTCAGTATTAAACCCTGCCCCCTATCTGTGGTGACCTAGAAGGGTGGGATGGGGGCTGGGTTGGCAGGAGGCCCCAGAGGGTCGGGATGTATGTGTAAAAGCTGATTCACCTTGTGGTACAGCAGAAACCAACAGAACATTGTAAAGAACATTCTTATCCTCCAGGTAAAAGAATCCCGCCCCCAGTCCCTGCAAGTAGAAGAATGTCTTCCTGATTTGGACATGGTCTTGTTTCATCCTTTCCTCAGAGCTTTTGTACCTTTGCATAATCCTAGTTTTGTAATGTTAAAGGGCAAGAAGCCGAAGAAGAGCCTGGAAAGGTTCTTCTGAGTGAGCCTTCTGAGTGAGACCGCAGAAGCCTTTTGACCACTTGGTGTCAGTTTTGAAGGTGTTGAGGATGGAGAGGAAGTGGAGGCACCTTTTCTTACCAACTTCCGGCTTCATCTTTGGGAGTATTTAGGATGTAGGTTGGGCATCTGTCATGGCTCAGTGGTAAGACATGGGTTTATTTCCTGGTTAGAGAAGATCCCATGGAGAAGGAAATGGCAACCCACGCCAGTATTCTTACCTGGGAAATCCTGTGGACCGAGAAACCAAAGAGTCAGACACAACTTAGTGTCTAAAATAACAACAGAATGTAGTTGCACTAGAGTAGTAAGCAACCCCGTGTCTCAGGGGGCTTTAAGACAATGATTTATTTCCCACTGGAGTCAATGTTATTATAGTTATCTGCTCATGACTGATGCTCAGGGCCAAGTTGAGAGGTGGTCCTCATTTGGAAAATTGCTGGGTCGTTCTGCCAGAGGGGACCTAGGAGAGCTGTGGAGGACTTCACGTAGGTAGTGATGCTCAGTAGGGAAGTGACTGCAGTCTTCTTTCTCACACAGCCCCTGTTGGCCACAAGTATGTTTGGCCAGTTGCACTAAGGGAGGAGAGTGGGACATGGATGTGCCTGGGGATCCTCTGCCCTTTCTCCCTCTGCCTTTTCCCCTCTCCCACTGTCTTCCCCTGGGCCATTCGGAGCCTCAGTGTTCCTTAAACCCCAGCTCTGTGTATCTTTGCAGTGCTGTGTGACTGTTCTGGACAGCTGTAAACTTTCCTCTTTGAGCTTCTATGTAGGGATTGAAAATGAAAGTGGAGGGGAAGCACATAAGCACTTTCTGACAGAAGAGATGTAGAATCTCAGAACCTGGAAGGGATTTTGGAAATCATTTGGTTCAGTCCTTTTCTGTTACAGATGGGAAAAATAAATCCCAGAGTATTTAAGCCAGCTGCTGGCAACCCTTGAACCAGAATCCAGGTCTCTAGCCCAGGGTGTTCTCAGTAATCCAATGACTGCTGTTCTCTTTCCTCATTTCTTCTTATAAACATTTGAGAGGGCTTCTCTTTTCTTTTAAATGAATCCAAATATTAAATGAAAATATTATTTGGACACAGTAACTTTTCATTGCTACTTGGTGTCCATGATATGTTGACTGGTGAGCCCAGACATACAGTGCATCCCTTATTGACTCATGGTGTCTAACTGGTCGAGGGTGGTAACCTGTCAAATTGTAGATAATCCATTGGATGAGCCGTTGAGTAGCCTGCATCTGGTATCATTAAGTAGTAACGCTATATTGTTTGTTAGAGAGCAGGGGTCATATTTTGCAGAATGTTCTGCTTTACGCATATGAAATAATTTTATTATGTTTCTACAAAAGAAAATAATTTCAATATGCATTAAATCTACTTTATAAAAAATTTCTGAGTTTTTAGGTCCATTGTTAACTTGCAGTAAATCATTTTGACTCAAAGGATTGTTTTGTAGGACTATTAATTCAGACTTCTCATGACTGATCACTTAGTGATTCATTCAATAAATATTTTAAAGTAACTTCTCTGTGAACAAAATATGTAGAGGTTACATTCTAGTGGGAAAATGACATAATAAATAAGCAAATTAAAGCCTGTGATAAGAATTAAGAAGGAAATAATGGTGATGATTAAATGAATTACATGTAACACCCCTAGAATGTTCCTGGCACATGGTAGCTCCTTAGTAGTATTAGCTGTTACTGTTATTTATTTTTCATTCATTCATTTAGTAACCATTTATCAAAGGCCTGAAAGTGAAAGTGAAGTTGCTCAGTCGTATCTGACTCTTTGTGACCCCACTGACTGTAGCATACCAGGTTCCTCCGTCCATGGGATTTTCCAGGCAAGGCTACTGGAGTGGGTTGCCATTTCCTTCTCCAGAGGATCTTCGCGACCCAGGGATTGAACCTGGATCTCCTACACTGAAGGCAGACACTAAGACCTACTGTGGTCCACGGGTGGTAGCACATATTAATAGAAAAGATGAAGTCACTGTTCTGTCTTTTTTGAATGGCTTTGAAATAATAAGCAGGATTTGACTGGACAGGGAGAACAAGAAAAACATTCTAAGTAAAGGACAAGAGCATGATAGTAGTTTGGAGGCAGAAGTAAGCAAAGGCTTTTGGCACACAGTGAGACAGTGACACTGAGCTTGAACAGGGTGGCTGTATTATGTTGAGAAATTAACACAGTAAGTCTCATGGCGTAGATCTCATGGGAGCCATGGTATTCAGGATTGGAACTTACTGCATGGGTTGTATCATTCAGCTTCTCATCCATCCTGACATTTTAAGAGGTATCTAGTATACCCTAGGCATAGCTCAGTTGGTAAAGAATCTGCCTGCAATGCACGTGACCCTGGTTCAATTCTTGGGTGAGGAAGATCCCCCAGAGAAGGGAAAGACTACTCACTCCAGTATTCTGATCTGGAAAATTCCATGGACTGTATAATCCACGGGGTCACAAAGAGTCAGAAATGTCTGAGTGACTTTCACTTTCAGTTTTCACCCTAAGCTGTACATGTACCAGATTTGTCCAGTACTTTTTATTACTAGTATTTTAGTTGTTTTCCAGTCCTTTGCTATTATAAATATTGATGTAGTCAATATCTTCAAGTATATTATTTTTCCCTTCTTTTGTTTCCTGTGGATAAAATTTAGGGTGTAGAATTTGAGTAAAGTTACAAACACTCTTATTTCTCTTGATGTATATTGCCAGATTGAATTTCTGAAATGAGTTCTCCAAGGTGATAACCTGCGTGTGCCAATTTCACCATTATCATTTTGATGTTATTTCTTAATATTTAAAATAATTAAGTTTTCATAAAATGGCTTGTTTTAACTTTATTGTTTTCATCCAGCTTTCCCTTACATTTGTGTTTACTCTTTATATTTTCTCTTTAGGTGAATTATCTTTCATAGTCTTTGACCATTTATCTACTAGAGATTTTAATTTTTGAATTATATTTGAATGGGCTCATTTTTTTTATAGACATGAATATTTTGTTTGTCATATTTGACAATTCAGTGTATTTTTATTACATTAGCTTTAAATATTTTTATAGACCTTTTAAAATCATTTGCTTGTTATTCCTCTATAGATCTGATAAATATTCTAGTTCACTTTTTGTAGTTTCTCTACAATATTTTAAAAAACAAATTTCACTGTATCTATCTGGGATTTACCATTTCATTTTGAATACTTCTAATTATTAGGAAGTTTATTATGTTGTTTAACTATAAAATTTTAAACATCTGTTTTAACCGATAGCAAATATATTAGAAGAAACCCTGACCTCTGTTTGTAAAGCAGGAGGCATGAAGTTCAAGATTTACTGAGTTTTTTTTTAATTGGAGTATAATCTCTTTACAATGTTGCATTAATTTCTGCTGTACAACAAAGTGAACCAGCTATATGTATATATATATCATCTCCCTCTTCACTCTCTCTCCCACTCCCCCCATCCCACCCCTCTAGGTCATCACAGAGCACCGGGCTGAGCTCTCAGGATTATATAGCAATTTCCCACTAGCTATCTGTTTTACACACGATTCAGATCAGTTACTCAGTCATGTCCGACTCTTTGCGACTCCATGGTCTACAGCACGCCAGGCTTTCCTGTTCATCGCCAACTCCTGGAGCTTGCTCAAGCTCATGTTCATCAAGTCAGTGATGCCATCCAACCATCTCATTCTGTTGGCCCCTTCTCCTCCTGCCTTCAGTCTTTCCCAGCATCAGGGTCTTTTCCAGTGAGTCATTGCTTCACATCAGGTGGCCAAAGTACTGGAGCTTCACTGTAGTAGTGTATATATGTCAATCCTAATCTCCCAATTCATTCCACCCACCCCTTCTAGAGAAATGGCACAGATGAGTCTATTTACTGAGGGTTTTTTTTTTTTTTAAACATATCAGTCAACCTAAGGGTTGAAAACACATAGACTCTAATAAGCAGGGAAGTTGGTGTTTGGAGAAAAATAGTCCAAAGCAGCTTTATTTCTGCTTTTGCTTTTCTCTCTTCCTCACTTTGCCTCAGGAAGATGAATGAAGCAAGGAAATCATGGGAAATGTGGATGCCCGCTAACTGGACATGGATTCTAGAAAAGCCAACTAAAGCTATCTTTCTTATTTCCTGGTAATCTAAGTACAGAGAACAGGTCATTAGTCAGAGAAGAATGAAGTGTGCAGGTAGGCCATCTCCCAGGAGGGAGCTCCTTTCAGGCGGACACAAAGGAGAGTGGCGGGATCCGCAAGGGGCTGTGAGTGGCGCCTGCTTCTTTGTATCTGATTGGTCAACTCTTCTTTACAGTTAGCTGCCGTAAGACCCGTTACTTACACTATAAAATATTATTTCCAATTTGAGTTTGGGGGCCTTCTTCGTTAGCATTTCCACGGGTTTTCTAAAAATGCTCCACCCAGACTCATTGACTCTCTGGAGGTTTGGTTGGTGAATCTAAAAAGCTCTCCTGAGAGATTCTTAGGCAGCTCGAGTATCAGTTCCTCAGGGCTGTAATTAAGTCGCCACAGAGCATGTGGAGGCCAATGCTGTTGTTTATTAATAAAGTGCCTTTGTAGGCTGTCTCGGAAACACAAACATATAAAGAAAGAGCAAAGTCTTTGACGTAATGGTAGCACAACATAAACTGTAATAAAATCTAGAGTGACACCTCAAAAATGAAAACCCTGGAAGCAGCTGTCTCATCAACAGGCCAGCCACTCTTCCTGTTAGTGTTAATAAAGCGCACCTTACTCATCTTTGCCTTATGCCATCAGACACTGTAGAACTTTAAAAAGTGGGCTGTATTTTTGTTTTTTTTAAATTCCAGATGCCATGGCCACGTACGGTCACAGAAAAGCTGTTGGAGGAGTTGTTTGATAGCACTGCTTCCCGCTTTCTGGCTGTCTTGGAAGCTCTCTCTGACTCAAATCGGCGACTACTACAGACCGGACCTGTTTTTACAGATGAAGTAGAAGTTCGTGATGTTGTCTCAGAACTGTTTATGGCAGGAAAAGAACTTTTAATAAGTAAATAAGTTGTTAAAATAATATTTTGTAAAAAATAAAAATAATTTTTTGTGGTACAACATAAATAACAAAAATTCTAGCATGGTATTTGACACATAAGAAACCAGTACCAATTTATTGATCTTTTTTCCTTAAATATTTTTTTTTTTTGATGTAGAACATTTTTAAAGTCTTTAGTGAATTTGTTACAATATTGCTTCTGTTTTATTTTGTATTTTTGGTTTGCTAAGAGTTTTTAATTCTGAATAGTTGTTAAATTTTATAAAACCTTTTTCTGGGTTTTTTGAAATTTATTGAGTTCATCAAATGGATGAACTTTTTTCTATTAATATGGTGAGTTACAGTGATTACTTATATAATCTTTAAACACTCCATATTCACTGCATATTTTTGGAATAATCTTAATCTGGAGGTGAGAATTATTCTTTTGATATATTGCTTGGTTTTCTTCCTAGTGGCTAATGTTTCTGTTCATGAGATTTCTTTTCTTACGAAGTCCTTTTTGGATTTTCCTCTCAAGGTCATGTTGGCCTCAATCAGAAGTTGAGCTTTCTACCCTCTTTTTCTATTATCTGGGAGAGTTTTTGTCAGATTGGTGTTATTTCTTGCTGAAAGTTTGAATTTTCTGGTGAAGGCATTTGGACCTGGAATTTTCTCTATGGAAATGTTTTAAACTATGGATTCCATTTCTTCTATAGATATAAAGTAATTTAGAATTTCATTTTCTTTAAAAAAAAAACCTTCTGTTTGGTAAATACTACTTTGACTTTATCTGTATTTTCAAATTTTCATAGACTAGTTTATGACATCATCATCACCTCCTGTGTGTGCTAAGTCTCTCCAGACCTGGCTGATTCTTTGTGCCCCGTGCAGTGTAGCCCACCAGGTTCTTCTGTCCATGGGGTTCTCCAGGCAAGAATCCCGGAGGGGATTGCCTTGCTGTCCTCTGATCTTCCTTACCCAGGGATCAAACCCGCAGCTCCTCTGTTTCCTGCATTGGCAGGTGGGTTCTTTACCACTAGCACCACCTGGGAAGCCCTGTTATCTTCTAAGTGAGCTTAAAGATGTGCACGTGTGTGCCCATCTGAAGGCACGGGGCCTCTGTACTGCAGTGCGGTCTCATCTTTTCTTCACAAGGAAGATACAAGATCTCAGAGGAGAATTTCTTTGACTTCCTTCACCCACACCTGAAAATTTACCTTCATCTGCACCTTTCCTTTCCACTTGTCTCTCATTAAAATGAAAGGGATGTTCTTCGTCTTCCCCTTTAGGTCTTTGGGCCATACCTCTGCAAATTGCCCCTTCATGCCTATCCAACTTCCTCCCCGAATTTCCTCCTCTTGTTAGAGTCGGATTTGTTGAAGGAATTGCCTGTGTTCCCTATCCCATACTCCTCCCCTCCTACCTACACTTGGCAGTCTGCCGTCATGGACAGGGAGCGTCGTGGGCAACCTCCTTATTGTTCAGCTGAGAGTCCGTGCGCTTCCCCCTCTGCTTTCTGCAGCAGTTGTTGCTGACACCTTCCTCCTCGTTCAGTGCTCCCCTGTGCAGCCTTCCTGCCCACCTGCCCTTCTGCTTGTTGGGGTTCTTTGCTCTTCTGTCCTTGGCAGCCTTCCATTGCTCGCAGCTGGCCCGCTTACTTACTTAACTTACTTACAGAGTGCGATGACTCTGGAGCCATGTCCCTATTTCAGGTCTCCTTTCTGACCTAGTCTGTAATATCTCGCCGTGTATTTCACTAGTTAACTCTTGCTAATTCTCTATTTTTGAGATTCTGGGTGGTCTTTCCTGACCAAAACTCCTACTCCATACCTAGGTTCGAGGCCCTTCTTATTTGTCCCCAGAGCATCCTGTGTTTGCCTACTAGTTTTTTTTTTTAATTTATTAAAAAAATTTTATTTTTATAGATTTTATATTTTATTTTTATATTGAAAGAAAGTGAAAGTGAAAGTCACTCAGTCATGTCTGACTCTTTGCGACCCCGTGGACTATACAGTCCATGGATTTTCCAGGCCAGAATACTGGAGTGGGTAGCCTTCCCCTTCTCCAGGGGATCTTCCCAACACAGGGATCAAACCCAGGTCTCCTGCATTGCAGGTGGATTCTTTACCGTCTGAGCCACAGGGGAAGTCTAAGAATACAGGAGTGGGTAGCCTACCCCTTCTCCAGGGCATCTTCTTGACCAGGAATTGACTTTTTATATCGTATTTTATTTATTCAGTGTGTTTTTGGCTGCTGTGCAGTGTGTGGGATCTTAGTTCCCAGACCCGGGATCAAACCTGAGCCCCCTGAAGTGGAGGCACAGAGTCTTAGCCACTGGACCACCGGGGAAGTCCTTGCCCGCTACGATTTCTTGTTTTCCCCGCCAGAGTGTGAGCTCTGTGAAGGCGGGAGTTGTGTTTGATTTTTACCCTCAGTGTTTCCTGAGTGCCTGACAGTGTCTGATATTTAATGTTTAGTAAATATTTCTTTGCACGAATGACCCCTCTCTTTTCTTTTCTAGTGTCAAATACTGGTGCAGATGGGATACTTGATTTTCCAAAAGCACGTCTTCTGGAACTTATTATAAAAAGGAAGAATCTTATTTCTGTGAATGCTGCCGTGAAATTTATAAAACTAGCTTTTATGTATGAGGAATGGAGTTTATTTGAATCTGCAGCTGGGCAGCTCATTGATTTTCTCCAGGTAGTACATGCAAAGCAATTGCTTTGTTTTTATGGTATTAACATGACGTTGAAGTGCTAATTGTGAGATATACTTTTCTTAGAGGCAGGATGACCCAGAGTCAAAGAAAGCAGAAAAGGATTTACTTCTTCTTGTTGCGATAGAACCTTTGATCAATGTGAAGAGAAACAAAGGTTTGATCTTTCCTTTCGACAACTACAAAGAAGGTCAAGTCTATGTAAAAAAAATTGCTGTTCATGGTGAGTGTTTATTTGCCCCTTTGAAAACTGAAGATGACTTTATACACTCTCTGTAGATGAAGCGAGAGAAAGAATATTCCAGGTAGAGGGAGCAGAAGTGTAAAGGCCCTGAAGTAAGAGCATGCTTGGTTGTTGAAGGAATAGCAGGGAGGCAGGTATGGCTGGAGTGTTCTGGTGGTGGTATGGCCTTGGAGAATGTGGTAAGAACTAAAGTCAGAGGAATAGCTGGGTGCCTGGTCTTGCAGTTTCCTAGGCCTTGCACAGATGCTGGATTTTATTTATTTACTTAAAAACCTTTTTCTTTTTTTTTGTCCACACTGTGGGTCATGTGGAATCTTAGTTCCCTGATCAGGGATCAAACCCACACCGCCTACAGTGGAGGCACAGAACTTTAACCACTGGACCACCAGGGAAGTCCCTGGATTTTCTTTTGCAACGTGGTTTTGGGTAGAAGAATGAGGCTCTATTTTAGCCTGCTGCCTTGTTAATGAGAGGTCAGCAGGGCATCAAATCAGAGTTACCAGTTGACTTTGATAAGGAAAAGTTTGCTGTTCTCCTGTCTCTTTCCAGTATGCAGAGTTTTCCATTCTAAAACTCTTGAAGTTTTAGGAGTTATTGTATATATAAATGAACATCTGCAGCCTCTGTCTTTTAGAGAATTATTTAATACCATGTTTTATGTTTTATCACATGCTTAAGGCATTGCATGGCTGCTCAGTTGTGGTAAATAATTTGTACCAAGTAATGATGCTTTTTTTTTTTTCTAGTGGTTTCTGAATAGATATCTTTGTTGTTTTTATTTCAACAGTCACAAATGTGTTAATATTATAAACCTTCTCAGTTCCATTAAGGACATAGTTGGTATACAGATTGCAGATAATGAAAATGATAGTAGTCCATTTTAATTGAATTAAAGCCTACTTAGATTAGTTTTCAAATGGAAGCATTTAAAGTGTCTTATTGACATATTTGCCCAGATAGCATTTTTGCTATTTTTGGAGAATTTCAATGTTTCTATAGATTTTCTGCTTGAAATTTTGTAACTTTTTTTTTTTTTTTGCTTCATTTCCTGTACTTTAGATACTTGTGTGAAGTCTTATGGATACTCAGAAGACATTTTCCATTTGGCAACAACCTTGTATTCCTGTGTCTGTGACTCTCCACAGGTGAAAAAGTTATTTTGGATAATTTGTAATAGTGTCAAAAGAGGCTCTTCTCCGTAATCTAAAGCCATATTTAAAAATCACAGGAATTTCACCTTGCTGAAATTCTATACTGTTCAGTCATTAGAATAAGACATTGAGTTATATCATGACTTATAATTTTAAATCTGTATTTACTATTGTTATCATTTTAGGCATCCACCTTTTCCTTTCTGGGAAATCTCAAGGCTAGCTATATTTCTGATAATGGAGGAAATGAAGCAGTAGTTTTGATGAGAGTTAATATTCTTAATGAAACCCTGCTTTCCAGTCCCTAAGTGCAAAGCCTGGTTACTGTTTGGAGTCACTTAGCATACAATGGCCAGTATTAAATGACAAGTTGTGGGTGTGGATGTTTAAGTCAAATTAGTGCAGCTCTGGTTTTAAAACTGAATTCCATGGATCCTCAGAGCTTCTCTGAGGTTCCTTAGGAGCCCAACTTTAGATCATAGCACCCTATAACCTTGAGATCCTAATGAAATTTCCTTTGAAAATTTGGTTTTACTGTTATAGAAAAATGTTTGAAAACCACAATTTTGTTCAGGAAAGTGAAACACTGTAAGGGACTTGAGAAGTTCCACTCTTATAATATTTTCTATTTATTAGTTTATGTTATAACCTGTGACAAGTATTTAATTTTTGAACTAAAAGTATTAATAGCAAATATAAGGAGTATAGTGGGCAAACTAAAAACAAAAAGTTCCAATCAAGGCTGAGAACGGCATGGAGTTTTCATCTCTCTGTTTTTTAAAAAACCATTGTGTCTTAGTTCCGTTCAATTCAAAAAGCATTTATTGAGCTCTATTATGTTCCCAAGCACTGTACTAAGGTACAAAATAAGTTCAAAATAAGTGTTCAAAATAAGTGTTCAAAATAAGTCTTAGAGCTGCCCCAAAGGAGCTCAAGGTTGGATGTTTTTTTATTTTTTTTTGGTTACCTATTTTATTATTATTATTTTCATTTATTTTTATTAGTTGGATTATTTTAATCATAAACTTACTCTTTTTCTAGTTCAGTTATAATGAGTACCTTTATTTTCCTTTTGAAAAGAGCCAGAGTAACTGAAGCAGGAGGAGATACACTCATGTTGGGTCCTCTGTTGAAATCCAGTGTGATGTTCTGTTTAGTTCCATCATGGCTCTCTTCTTATCCGTATCTTTTCCCAGCTCCCCTCTCCTTCTCCCCTCACTAGTTTCTCCACCCCCTGCCCATTCTTTGTTATGTTAAACCAGAGATTTTAAAAAGAAAGAAGTATATACTCTAAATCTGGATGCAACTGATTGGCTTACATAACTTAAATTTGGAACTTTTCTTTCCAAGAGAGGTCAAGTGACTTAGAGCAGTGAAGACTACTCTAGATAGAGCTAGACTGCTTAGGTTTGAATCCAGCCTCTGCTAGTTTATCTTAGGGAAAATGACAAAATTTGCTTGTGCTTCAGTCTGCATCTATAAAGTGAGGATGGTTGTAGTAGTACTCACTTCGTAGGTTGTTATGAGGATTAAATTAGTTGGTGGATGTCTTAGTCCATTTGAGTTTCCATAATAAAGATACCATACACTGGTTGGCTTAAACAACATTTATTTATCTTGGTTCTGGAGGCTGAGAAATGCGGTATCAAGGCATCATCTACCTTCTGGTTCAGAAATGGCTGTCCTCTTGCTGTGCCCTCACTTGACAGAAAGAAGGAGTATCTCATTCTCTTTCTGGGTCTCCTTTTATAAAGACACTATTCTAGTTCGTGAGGGCTCCATCCTTATACTTCCCAATGTGTGTGTCTTAGCTGCTTGTCTGTGTCCGACTCTTTGCAACCCTATGGACTGTAGCCCACCAGACTCTGTCCATGGAATTCTCCAGGCAAGACTGGAGTGGGNTATTTTGTATATGCCCTTATACACAAAGACGTCTGGTGGCTCAGACGACAAAGCGTCTACCTATAATGAGGGAGACCCGGGTTCAATCCCTGGGTAGGGAAGATCCCCTGAAGAAGGAAATGGCAACCCACTCCAGTATTCATGCCTGGAAAACCCCATGGACTGAGAAGCCTGGTGGGCTACAGTCCATGGGGTCACAAAGAGTCAGACCCGACTTCACTTTTCGCTTTTCACTCTCTGTAATAGTTCTCTGTTTAGACTGAAGAGCTCTCTTGCAGAGGAGGAGAAGGTGGAGCAGGTGGAAATTGTAACCTGGGAACTTAGGAGAGAGTGTTTTAACAGTCTGCTGTGACTCTGGAGCCTCCTAAGATTAGCTGTATTAGGATGCATGGACATAATTTTATCATATACTCTAATGAAACAATGATCTGGGCACATAAATGTTATTTTCCCATTTTAACTCCCAAAGTGTGATGGCTAATTTTATGTGCTAAGCTTTGAGGTTATAGGCATGAAAGACAGATTCCAAAGCACCTGGTGTAGAGCCTGAAACACCTACTTCCCCCTCACTATTTGGGAGGACTTTGATAGTGATAGTCACTGCTGCTTTCTGAAGGGAGAATGAAAATTTTGAGGATACAGATAATCTTCACTGATACATAATAAAGTCAGATGATAAATTTTCTATTATAGCTATAGATATGCAGACTACAAACTAAATAATTCTTCTTCATGAATATGTATAAACAGAGTGATCATTAACTATCATCTTATTAGGATTATTGATTTTCTATTATTTATAATTAAGATCCACTGATAAAAAGGTGTTACTCACTCAGTCGTGTCTGGAGCTTTGCGACCCCATGCACTCTAGCCCACCAGATTCCTCTGTCCATGGGATCCTCCAGGCAGGAAACTGGGGTAGGTTGCCATTCCCTTCTCCAGGGCATCTTCCTGACCCAGGGATCGAACCCAGGTCTCCCGCATTGCAGACGGATTCTTTACCATCTCAGTCACCAGGGAAGCTAGTACCTGTATAACATTATATGATTAGAAGGTGGTGATTTCAAGGAAGTACTCGATTTTATAAAATGTGACTCTTTCTACAATGTAGTGCACTTTCAATTGATTTTACTGTGTATTTTCTCTTTTTAGTGGATTTATCTTCTGTGGCAGATAAATGAAATCATTCACTGCTATAAGATGGAAGATATTGACGTTGTGATGGTGGCAGAGGTCACGTTACGATTAAGTGAAATATTGGAGTCTTTAGGAAACCCAAGAAGAAAATTTAAAAAATTTCTAGGTAAAATATTGAATTAAAAGGCATGAGGTTCTATATATATATATGAATATATAAGCATAAACTGTAATACTGTTTAACATCTGTTAATGAAAATCATACATTTCAGTATTGTGCTTCATGGATGATTTATAATCAAAGATAGAAGTAATATAGGTTCAACCAAGTTGATGTTAAAAAAGAAAAGGTTATATGCTTTCTGGTTCAGTGGCAAATGAAAATGTTTGCGTCTTCTCCTCACTCGTATATTTCCCTTCTCTGCCCCTCACTGTCCACCTACACCACTCACCCTTCCCCTCCATTCTTCCTTCTTTCTTCCTTCTTTCCCCTCGTTTTAATCCTACATCCTCTTCTTCCATTTCCTGCTAGAGTTTATACTTCTTGAAGGAAGAGAATGTATTCTGGTCACCATAGTTTGTGACACCATCATGCTGCCTGCCACAGAGGAAGAGCTGGAATGAGTGGATCCTTGTCCTTCTACCTTTTATCTCCTTATTAAGTCTCTTCTCTCTTGATTCCCTCCTGTGAAAATTCTTCTTCTTTCTTCCTTTGTCCTGTTTCTTCTTTTCTTTTTCCTCTTTATCTTCTTCCTCTTTTTGCCCCCTTCTCACTCATTCTCCTCCTCCTCTCCCTGTCCAATCCCTTCCCGCCACTATTCTGCTCTCCTTCCGGGAGGTGCCTTCTCTCAGAGGATGCTGTGACCTCTTCATTCTTTCTTCTGCCTGTGATGGAGCCCCAGAGTTGTCTGTGTCGTCAGGTAGCTCACATATAGAAAATGAGGTAGAGGAGCATAGGGGCGCCTGCTTTCCTGTCTCACCCCTCTTATAGTGTATGTGTGACATCTGAGGGGTTCGGTAATAAAATAGTTATTGTAATAATTGTTCTCCCAAAGATTCGCTAATCTGGCTCCACCTGTTCTCCATTGTTGAGCTCAGCTTTGCAGATGGAATTAGATAACTATGGTTCTCAAAGTTTGCTTGATAGAAATATCACCTGGAAATGTGTTAAAAATATGAGGCTCAGTTCTATTGCACCTCAGCTAGTATGGACTTTTCTAGTCTTGATTAGCTTACCGGGTGATTTTGATACACTTAGAAGTTTGAGGATCACTGATCTCTGGCTAGCTAACACTTTCAATGACTTGAAGTCATATTTTTTTCTAACTTGATAATTTTTGTTTTGTGTTGGGGTATAGCCAGTTAACAATACTGTGGTAGTTTCAGGTGAACGGTTAATGGACTCAGTTTTGCATATACATGTATCCATTCTCCTCCAAGCCCCTCCCGTCCAAACTGGCACATAGCATTGAGTAGAATTCTAGGTACTAGGTGATAGCTCCTTGTTGCTTATCCATTTTGAATATAGCAGTGTGTACATGACCTTCCCAAACTTCCTAACTATCCCTTCCCTGCCCCAGCAACCATTAGTACATTTTCTAAGTTTGTGAGTCTTTTTCTTTTTGTTAGTAAGTTCATTTGTGTCATTTCTTTTTAGATTCCACGTATAAGGGGTGTCATATGATATTGGCCTTTCTCTGTCTTGAAGTCATACTTTTTGACATATCCTGTCTTAAAACATTTTTCCTTTAAAAAATTTTTTATTATGTAGAATTTCGAATAGAGACATGAAATAAGTCACTGCGCACTCATCATCCAGTACCAGTAATTATGAACATTTTGCCAACCTTATTTAATCTCTCTTGGCAACACTTTCTTTTTTCCTGGAGAGTTTTAAGGTAGACAGCATGTCATTCACCACCAAATACCTCAGCATATACACATATGTGTGTGTGTGTGTTGGTCTATCTAACAGAAGGTTTTTTTTCTTTTTACACAACCACAATGCTATTAATACATTATACCTTACAAAATTAGCAAACATTCCTATGCCCCTGATTGTATTAAAATCTCTTAAGTTGGTTTGTTTCAATCAGGATCCAACTGAGCCCATACATTTTATTTTCCATCATGTCTCTTAAATCTCTCTCTGTAACCTATAGTCCTCCTCTCCTTACCCCTGAAGAAACTGAATCGTCTCCCTGGAAGATTTCCCACATACTGGATTTGGCTATTTGCGTCCTTATGGTGTTATCTTGTTTCTCTACCTGGTAGTTAGATCTATCAGGCTGGTTATATTCAAGTGATACATTTTCAAAAAGTTTTCTTGTCAATCTTATTTTTTTTGGCAAGCGTATTTCATGCATACTCCCTGTTGCATTGAGTCAGGAAGTATGTAATACCTGATTGTCTCACTTGTTATGATACAAAGATTTGCCAGCAAGTTCAGGTGTTGTCACCTTGATCTTTCTCCTGGATTGGTTTCCCCAGAAGCAGATTCTGAGACAAAGAGTTGAGTGTAGCAGTTTATTTGGACTGCTATCCAGGGAAGCAGGGTGGTGGAGTGAAGCGAGACAGAAGGAAAGGAAGCCAGTAAAGGGTACCGGATGTTCATGAGAAGGCTGCTGTTGTGGGTATAGGGCTCATTCCCACAAGGGGCTTCCAGAAGACTGTATAGAATGTGCCTTAAAGAGCTGGGAGGTTGGGGTGTTTGTTCGACCATTATCTGTCATTGGTTGAAGGCTACTAGAGTAGGGCTAGAGGGAAGCCAGAAGGGGCTTCTGACTTCTATCATCTCACCCGTAGTTATTCTGTTGATTTCTTAAGTGCAGAACTTGCTTCATCAGCTATTTGGTTAATCTGGTTATTTTAATCTTGTGGTTGACACTATATTTGCTACCAATATTTTATAAAAGTAACTTGAAGCCTTAGATGATCTGTTCTTCCAGGGAAGATTTATGCTTGCTTTTGCCAGATATATGAAGGCAGTGCAACTCCAGGTTCCCATTAATCCACTTTGAGATATTAAGATAATTTAAATTTGAGATGCTCTTTATTCAGCATATTTTCAGTTACTCTGACTCCTAGGATGTAGCCCCTTCTGGCTTTTCACCCTTGGTGGGCCCTGAATACCAATCTCTGTTGCTTTAGCTCCTCAAGGCTGTCAAAGCAACATTTAGCTTCTCAGCTTACCTTTCCAGAACTGACGAAAATCTTCGGAGGGAAAAGTAGCTCAAAGGACATGCTCTAGGCCCTTGGCTCTATTCCCAAGATCCAGGGGATACTCTCTTCCCAAGATACTGGCTATGTACTGATATTTTCATTATTTTCTTAGCTTGCAGAAAAAAAAAAAAGCCCTGTATTTTTCCAGCTTTTCCAGCCAGGGGAATGTTTCCAGAATATCTGTTACTACAACCAAAAAGTCTAATGATTGCTTTTAGAAAAAAAATATCTATTTCTTATTAAATTTTATTGTTTTGTTTACTTTGGGGAGACTAATGTTTTATTGTATTTTATATTCTTTAATTATGGATGGGCTTCATACAACTGATTATACTGATCCTTTGTTAAAATATTTGATTTCTAAAAATGTAATCAATATTAGAGCATGATCCATTTGTAAGTTTGAAAACATCTACATTTATGTCACGAGCAGTTGTTCCCATTTAGATATGTAAATTTTTTTTCCAACAATGTTATTCTTATCATCTTATTGGCACATAAAATATGAAGTACAAGTCATTCTTTCTAAGTTAATTATGATAATCTGCTTTAAGATATTTATTAATATTAGTCTATTAAGTAATTCATTGTTTAATTGGAATTACTGAAAAATTTTTAGACCGGGAAATTAGCATTGTCATATACATTTTTATTATTTGTATTCCTTTAATTAAAGCCAGACTTCTCTGACATTTGTCTAAATTTGCTGTTATTTTATGTATGCTTTTCAATGGATTTTCCATAGAATATACAGAAAGACAGTCTCTTTACCATAATATTACCATGCTGATGATCAAAATTTTTGAATTGGTTTGTTGTATTACAAAGTGCTCTTAAATTTACTTTTATAAAGACAAAATATAACTAACTGGAAGAAATAATTTGGTATGCAACTTCTAAGTGTTGACTCATTTCTAAACTCATGAATAATTAAAAAGATAACTAATTTAGTATAATTTTTTTATGATTATGATTCACTGTTAATTGCCATTTTTTTCTGTCATCCTTTTATTTCCTCTGGTCCTTTTTCTCTCCATTTCTTCCTCTCCTACTCACTCCTTCTCTTCCTATTTTTCCTTTCTTTTATTCTCTTTTTCCTCCCTCCCTCCCTTCTTTCTTCCTCTTTCCTTCCTTCCTCTCTTTCTCTCTGTTTTTCAGATGTATCTTTAAGGAAGGGGACTAGTGAATTCCTTGGGGCTCCGAAAGGGAGCATAGATATTCTTCCAATAATAAAGGTAAGGTACTGCAAAATATTTTAGAAAATACAGTTAAAAACATTTAATTTTAAGTGTTTTAAAATTTAATTTTTAAAAAAAACCATTACATCTGTAAATGTATAATGGTTAGTTATAGAAGTAATTTTGAGCATTTAATATCTGAGAAATTATGGTTTCTATATACATTGAGAACTGTAGGAATATTTTTCTACCTTTTGTTTTTACTTTAGAAAAAAATCCAGTCAGCTTCAAAAATAAGCTAGATAAAGGGTCTTAGAAGGAGTTATAGTTATATTACTATTGATATTTTGAATGTTATATTTCATAGACTCACAGAGCAGGGATGTCCTCCTTAGCACTTACCTGCTTTATGAGTCCATGAGTCACAACATTCAAAAAAAGTAGCTCACTTTTTATCTTAGTGCTGTGTTTGTGAGGTTGATTTGTATAGTCACAGTGATCATTTTCACTACTACATTTTATTGGATCAAGGTTGCACAGCTAAGTGAATTTGAAGTTAGAGTGTTTCCTTCAAAGTTCAGGCATTTAGCAATTATGCTATGCTGTCCATTGATTTAAAAAGTGTCTTCAGAATATTTGTATAAAGTATACTTTTTTAATACACAAAAATGCAAGTGCTAAGAAACTGGGTATAAATAAAATATCATAAGTATATCAGAACTTTCTTGAATATTATATTCATCTCTAATAAAAGGCTTCAGGGAATGCAGTTTTGAATTTTCTGTGCTGTATTGTGTCTTGAGAGTTGAAAAATTTGAAATTGACAACAGAGGAAGTTTGAACTGCATAAGAGATTGAGGGGGCATAAGAGCTGTCTACCAGTGGCTTTTCCAGGGATCATTTGCAGTGCTTATTATATATGTAGCTTCCTATTTTCCATTTTGGACATAGTGAATCATGATTTCAGGTATGAGATTCTCAAAAGTTTGTAATTCAGGTTTAAGGTTCTTAAAAGTTTGCCAGGTAGATTCTTGAGGAAACTGGAATTTAAGGATTACTTGCTTAGAGTGCTGGCACTTATTCTGCGAGGCTTCGTACAGGAATAGGTGTACTAGCAGAAGTTACAAAGTACTAGATTTTGACTTGGATAGAAAAATTCTGGCGATTAAAGGCGCTAAATGAAATGGATTTCTTAGAAAGTGACCATGAAGAAACGGAAAATCATTTATGAATTATTGCTACTGTTTTTGAATTAGAAAAATGCACCCTTTCTTTGATATAATTTATTGCCATCTGCTAGGAAATTTTCAAAATAAACATAGAAGTCTATGATGACTACAGTGTGAATAGCACCTCTAAACTTGTGCCATATGCTACCTGCTCAGTTATATGGGGGTGTGTGGTATATGGAGTAGGGCTTCTTCACTGATATGGTGTAAGGGCATAGCAGTTGATATTGGGGGACTTGGAGTTGAATTCTGACTTTAATGTTGACTGTGTGATCTTAAATAAACTAATCTGTTTGAGTATGTGTCCTCATTTGTAAGATGATAACAATAATATCTATTCTACTGGTAGTTTTTAAGTGGTTCTGTCCAAATGAGGTGTTGGTAACACTGTGGCACATGGTGGCAACTCAGGTTTTCTCTTACATTTCACAAAGGGCACTGAATCTCAACCTAGAGTCTCAGAGCTATTTGGAAGGGAGTGAAGTGGGGAGGAGTGAGAATTTATAGAAAGGAAAGTCCAAAATCCATTTGCTCACCTAGCAGAGTCTGCAGGTGGGGTAAACTGTGTATCTTGCATGTTCGTTGTTCATGTTCAGTCCCTAAGTTGCATCCCACTCTCTGCAACCGCATGGACTGCAGCACTTCAGCTTTCCCTGTTTTTCACTATCTCCTGGAGTTTGCTCACACTCATGTCCATTGAGCTGATGATGCCATACCATCTAGCCATCTCATCCTCTATTGCTCCCATTTCCTCTTGTCCTCAGTCTGTCCCAGCATCAGGGTCTTTTCTAATCAGTCAGCTCTTGGCATCAGGTGGCCAAGATATGATATCTTGCATATACACATGCAACTATTTAAAAAATACATAGGGTACTATTGTGATTATATTTTTTAAAATTTACTTTAAAGTTTTACTGAATTCATGGCTATTTTTGACAAATGGATTATAGTGTTAGTTGCTTAGTCATGTCCAACTCTCTGTGACCCCATGGACTGTAACCCACCAGCCTCCTCTGTCCTTGGAATTCTCCAGGCAAGAATACTAGGGTAGCCATTCCCACCAGAGAATAATAAGTACCTCATAGGATTATGGTAATTTAAAAATTAGTCCAGATAAAGCATTTAGCCTAGCACTTGGAACACATTTTAATTCAATATTAGCTGTAATGATATTACAGTATTAGCTGGGCTTCTCTTGTGGCTCAAATGGTAAAGAATCTGCCTGCAATGCAGGAGACCCAGGCTCAACCCTTGGGTTGGGAGGATCCCCTGGAGAAGGAATTGGCAACCCACTTGAGTATTCTTGTCTGGAGATTTCTATGGACAGAGAATTCCATGGACAGGCTATAGTTTGTGGGATCACAAAAGAGTTGGACATGACTGAGCAACTAACTTTCATTTTCACTAGCTGTAACGTTAACAAAATTGACGGTGGTGGTGATGACGATGCTAGAATGTGTGTGTTTGTTGGGGAGGTCTTTGAAACCTTTTGGTGTTAAAAGCTGTGCTTAGAGACTTCTGTTTGTGGCTAAATGGGAAACTAGATGACTGAAAAAAGCTCTTGCTGCAAAACTCCTGGAAATTTTGGAGAAAATTGAACAAATATCCTCAAGCACACCACAGAGTTCACAACAAAGTAAGGTAAATTCCAGGAGCCAAAATAGAAAGGAGAACTGAAAACCAGAATGGTCAGTTTATGAATAGATGCTGCAGTAGGCTGTTGGTCTCAGTTACAAAGAAATTTAAATTCACCACCACCTAGGGGAAAGAGATGAGCCTTGGACACGTGAGAGATGGGGCTTACAGCTCAGACTCACACATTTAGTTAGAGCCCACAAGACTTATCCCAGGAAAAGGTCAACTAGAAAAGCATCTGCCTATTTGGTAAGGAGGTTTCTCAGTTTGGGCATTGAGAAGTGATGTAAACAAGAGAAGGGCTCTCTTCCTAATAATTTGGGCGCCCTCATGTTGGTCTGTCATTCAAATTTACACTGCTTGAGTTGCTCAGGAAACTCTCGGAGCCTGTGATTCCTTTCTTTTATAATTAAACAATTTTATTGAAGTATAGTTGATTTATAATGTTGTTAATTTCTTCTGTACAGCAAAGTGATTCATTATGCATCTATATTCTTTTCCATTATGTTTTATCAGGAGGTACTGAGTATAGTGCCCTGTGCTGTATGGTAGGACCTTGTTTATGAATGTGTGATTCTTGAATGGAGATATCTAGCTATATATATGTTGAATGGATGTGTGTAATCAAATTATGTATATTCCAGAATGCAGGGATGTTTGAACACTAGAAATTCCATAATGCAATACACCACATTTGCAGATGACAAGGAAAAAATATGACCACATCATCAAAAAGAGATGCAACAAAAGCATTTGACAAAATTCAACAACCACGTTTTTAAAAATAACTCTTAACAAGTTAGGAATAGAAGAGAACTTTTGTATCCCATAAAGGGTATCAGCCAAGACCTTTAATGACCATTACATCTATGGTAAAAGATTAAAAGTAATCCCTTTATCCTGATGTAAAAACTTAGATGTCTGTCATTCTTCTAATCAACATGCCCCAGGGGTCTTAGCTGTGTGAAAAAAGAGAAGCATAAGAAAAGGTAGACCTGTAAAGAAGTCTCAGACTAGGATAATAACATTGCACAGTTTTAGTAATAGCAGTCTAAATGTCCACTGGGGAAGAGTGGATAAGTGAATTGTGATGCAGTCCTCAGCATAATACCATTTCATCCTAGCCATAGAAGGTGAATCAGCTGCAGTGGCCTTGACTAGAGTCAGCTGGTATCATTGCTATCCCACTTCCGTAATCAGCTTCACACTAGAGCAAGAAAGACCTGGAGCTACATTTCCCACCATCTCATTTCCACATGGTTCTAGGTTAGTCTTCCAATTAGGGGTATTTGAATGGATTTGTTATACACAAGGGAAGAAAGAGTTCTTATACTGCAGAGGAGGATGCAAGAAGATAATTGATCAGCCTTGTTGAGCAAGCCCTTGCCGTTCATTTGTTTCAGTGTGGTAGACACTTGAGATTGTCACCTGGCTCCTGGATTCTTAGCTTGCTGCATGCAGTTAAGTCATCCCTGGCAGCTCTCTTGATCTTTGCTCCCCCAGGGCTTCCAGCAGTGATGGACACTTCTAGTTCTGTCCATTAAATCCCTTTCTGCTTGGAATACTTAGAGTTGCTCTGTGTTCTTAACCAGACCCTGCCAGACACCCTGAGTTGCAGGAGAAGGTTTCAGTGACATATGGTTGAGTGAAAAAAATGAACTGCAGAATTTTACAAGGGAATCAAAAACATGCAAAGCTATATTGCATCTTGTTAGTGGACACATACATATGTAGTAGACATTTTAAAACATGCGAAAGAATGGAAACCAAATTCAAGGACAGTGGCTTCCTTGGGGTGAGGGTTTTGAATTACTGTTAAGTTTCGAAGTGTTGTATATGATTTTTCCCTTAAATCTGAATTTTCTGTTTTGTTTATAAAATTACTTTAGAAAAAACCTGAGGAACAGCTATTTTTGGCCTATGAACTTCTTGACAAAGCCATTGGTAGCATCAATTTGAGCTGCACGTTAACCGCTTTGCCGAATGGATCATCAGTGGTTGACCATTGCTATGCCACGGTGAGCATGAGAAACGTACATTAGTCGTGTTTCCTTAACTAGGAAGCATGGGTAACCAGAGAGTGGTCTATGGGGGCCACCTCAGACTGGAAATGTGCTCCTCTCCTCTCAGAGGAGACCGAGGAGGGTGCTGAGTCTGAACTTGTCACTGAAAGGCCTCTGGGGAATGTGGAGAGTGATGAATTATTGTGCAAGTCAGATTTTAAAGGGTTAAGAAGTGAGCATACTTACAGGCTAAGAATAAAATGATAACCTGAATGCACTAGGATAGAGCTATTTTTGTATGTTTTGATAACTATATTCCTTTTTAATTTTGCTTCAATTCTACCAAAGCACACCCACTGTATAGATGGAGACATGTGCAAACCAGTCACACCGAATAATTTCATAATGGACTTGCATCTTGAGCTAATTCAAGCCCAGCACCGAATATCTGTTATGCTTCTTGACCAGTTGCAAGGTTAGTAGTCATCAAAGCAGATAACTTGTTCTGAATCCATTTTAAGACATGTTCAAGCATGTGTGAAGAATGTTCTTGTTGACTGGGTGTTTTTCAGATAAACTTTGTTGCTTTGTTTTTTCTTACTTCCCTGATTAATATCCATAGATATTTTTCATTATTTCTTTACACCTTGGTTAGCAAATCTGTAAACTTCTGAAAAATTAAATTGTTTGAGTTATAGTAAATTACTGGTATTTTATTTTCAAAAAATTTTTTAATTAAAAAAATTTTTTAAACTTATTTATTTATTCATTTTAACTTTACAATGTTGTATTGGTTTTGACATACGTTGACTTGAATCCTCCATGGGTGTACACGTGTTCCCCATCCTGAAAGCCCCCTTCTGCCTCCCTCCCCACCTCGTCCCTCTGGGCCATCCCAGTGCACCAGCCCCAAGCACCCTCTCTCATGCATCGAGTCTAGACTGGCGACTCGTTTCACATATGATAATATACATGTTTCAGTGCTATTCAATTAAGCAAACATTTACTGAAGTGAATATCAAGATCTGGGAGCTGTTTTCAGGCTTGGTCTAAAAGAGACACAGCCTTTAATTTTGAGCTCTAGATAAGTAAGCCAACTATAACAGTCAAGGCTCTTAAATGCAGTGGAAGTGGACTCGGAGTGTTTGCTCTTGGCACACAGAAGAGTGTAACTGACAAGAAGGTCAGGGATGGCTTCCCGAAAGATATGAGAGCTGACCAGAAAGCTAGCAGATGTCTTTATGAAGAACACTGAAAAGGAGGCAGTCATTTCGAATGGAGAAAGCAACTTTTAGCAAGGTGGGAGCAATTATATGAAGTATAGAAACTGCTGGAATTCTCTTACGGCTGCAGTAAAGAGCACACGTGGGAGACTGACACAGCTAAGCCTAGAGGTGGATTACAGAGCTTGAAGGGTTAAAGGGTTTATGTAATGTCCTGAAACTACTGAGCTGGCCTGAATTGAACTGCATTGAAAAATTTAGAAAGGTATCTCTGACAGCAGTGTCAGAGGCTAGATGAGTTGGATTATGTCGCATCATATGCACGGTTTGTTTTTCAGTCGCTCAGTCATGTCCAACTCTGTGCAACCCCATGGACCCCAGCACGCCAGGCTTCCCTGTCCTTCACCATCGCCTGGAGCTTGCTCAAACTCATGTCCGTTGAGTCGGTGATGCCATTCAACCGTCTTGTCCTCTGTTGTCCCCTTCTCCTCCTGCCTTCATTCTTTCCCAGCATCAAGGTCTTTTCTAATGAGTCAGCTCTTCGCATCAGGTGCTCAAAGTATTGGAGCTTCAGCTTCAGCATCAGTCCTTCCAGTGAATATTCAGGATTGATTTCCTTTAGGATTGACTGGTCTGAAAATAGATTTAGTCAAATGCTGGTTAATTAAATAATATTTGAGTGCAGATTTTTTTCTCCTCAGCTTTATTAAGATATTATTGACAATTATATTTTGTAAGTTCAAGGTGTACAATGTGTAGATCTGCTACACTAATACATTGTAAAATGATTGTTGTTATAGCATTAGTTAACAACTCCAGCATATTACATAGTCACCATTTCATTTTTGTGGTAGGAATATTTAAGATTTACTCACTTAGCAACTTGTAAATATACACTCCAGTATTATTAGCTATGATCCATGGTATATATTAGCTCCCCAGAGTTTATTCTTCTTACGATTGGTAGTTTGTACCCTTTCACCAATATCTGTTTCTCCACTCCCTCAGCCCCTGGTAACCTCCACTCTACACTGTGTTTCTATGAGTTTGGCTTTTTTAGATTCCTTGTATAAGTGATACCATCCAATATTTGTCTTTCTCTGTATGATTATTTCACCTAGCATGATGCCCTCAAATTTTATCCATGTTATTGCAAATGGCAGGATTTCTTTCTTTCTCATGACTGAGTAATATTCCATTGTTCATGTAATATATATCTATGTCTATCTACCTCTATGTGTACATCACATCTTCTTTCTACATTCACCCATTGATGGACACTTAGGTCGTTGCAATATCTTTGTTGCCATATCTTAGCTATTGTGAATAATGTTGCATTGAAAATGGGACCATAGATATCTCTGAAATCTTATTTTCATTTCCTTTGTGGATATATCCAGAAGTACATTTCTGGGTCCTATAGTAGTTCTATTTTTAATTTTTGGAGATCTCCATAATGTTTTCTATAGTGGCTTAACCAATTTACACCCCCACCAATAGTGCACAGTGGTTCCCTTTTATCCACATCTTCACCAGTGTTTGTTATCTCTTGTCTTCTTGATGATCAGTTCAGTTTAATTGCTCAGTTGTGTCCAACTCTTTGCGACCCCATGGACTGCAGGACGCCAGGCTTCCCTGTCCATCACCAACTCCTGGAGCTTACTCAGACTCATGTCCATTGAGTCAATGATGCCATCCAACCAGCTTATCCTCATCATCCCCTTCTCTTCCCATCTTCAATCTTTCCCATCATCAGGGTCTTTTCTAATGAGTCAGTTCTTTGCATCAGGTAGCCAAACTATTGGCACTTTAGCTTCAGCATCAGTCCTTCCAATGAATATTCAGGACTGGTTTCCTGTAGGATTGGCTAGTTTGATATCATCATTCTAGTTGATAGCCATTCTAATAGGCATGAGGTAATGTCTCCTTGTGGTTTTGATTTGCATTTTCCTGATGATTAGTAATGTTGAGCATCTTTTCATGTACTAGAGAGCTATTTGTATATTTTCTTTAGAAAAATGTCATTTAGTTATTCTGCCCATTAAAATCAGAGTTTTATTATTAAATTATGCGAGTTCTTTATGTATTTTGGAGATATGTGCATACATATATTTACATGGAATTAGTTATTATTTCTTTGCAGTATCTGGATCTGCTTGATATTTTTCTCTGCCTTATTGAACTGCCACCCTGGCACGGATGATCTTTTTTCCTCCTGTCACCCTTTACTGTCTATGCTGCTGTCTGACTAATGTTGCCTAATGACTGCTTTTGTCATTCTTATTCAAGGACTTTACAATGGGCGTCTGTTGATGATTGTGCTATAAAGTGTGACTCCTGTATTGGGCATTCACATTTTTCTTGCAGTCTCATCTTTCTTATCTCCAATGATTATAATCATGAGAGCTATCACTTAATTAGCATTTATAATACTCTAGGTGCTGAGAGAATGGTGCAATATTTTCTGTTTTCCATGCAGGTAAATTTCCTTATCCTTTGCCATTAACGACTTTATATTTTTTAATGGTGTCTGTTGATATCTTTTTATCAGGCAGTCATCATCCCATGGTGGCTCATGTGCATTAGCACAAATAATTAAACCTCAATAAAAGGGGTTTATTATAAGGTTGTTACAGGTACCCTATTGCCAGGTCTTTTGAGAACCAGACCTATAAAATCAAGAATGTTTATTGATATATTTTTTACCTCCCTGGGTCAGCATACCTTCATCTTCTTTTCCCTCATCCTGCTACCTATTTCCTGGACCACCATGATGGTCAGTCTCAGCTACACACCAGGATCTCTCACTGCTCATAACCAGCTGGCAGTAATTTGTGTGTTAGTTGAAAATTTTGAGAGAGGCTCTGATTTTATCAGCCGCAGATAGAGCAGAGTGGAGATCTTCATGTGGTACCCAGAATTTTTGCAGGGACCATGGATGGAGCAATTTTGAAAAGCTTTAGAGGAAGGAAAGTGACCAAAAGTAGGTTGGATCCTATTTATCAACCTTCAAGATGATTTTATTTAAGGTGAAATAGAAAATCAAATATTTTTATAACTTGAAAATTCTTCATGTTCTCATACTGTGGCTAATAAAAGAATTTAATGATAAAACTCTACTAGATTTGTTTGAATTTTTATCTATTAGTGAAAAAAGATGACCTGATAGAGGACTTGATTTAGGTCATACCTGAATGGTCTAGTGGTTTTCCCTACTTTCTTCAATTTAAGTCTGAATTTGGCAATAAGGAGTTCATGATCTGAGCCACAGTCACCTCCTGGTCTTGTTTTTGCTGACTGTATAGAGCTTCTCCACCTTTGGCTGCAAAGAATATAATCAGTCTGATTTCAGTGTTGACCATCTGGTGATGTCCATGTGTAGAGTTTTCTCTTGTGTTGTTGGAAGAGGGTGTTTGCT